TTTTTAGTTCCTTTAAAATTTTGCATACTTTCTTTACTGACTATTTATATTGTCAACTACATTGAAAATTGGCATAAAATTATTAAAGTGATATATTCTGACTCCAACTTACAGTAGCTAGTTGCTCCTTGAAAACCCTTCTTATATTTGTCTTTCAAATGCCATACTAGAATTTTTTTCTCTATTAGTTTTTTTTTTTTTTTTAACACAGTGGAAACATCGATGGGAGAAAGAAATTATTGTTTTTATTTCTCAAAAGATTGAAATTCTTAAATTCAGTTGTAATTCTCAGATACTCTAAGGAATCTCCAATTTTCATCAACAGCTTTGCAAGCATCCCAGGAACTTCTCTAGGTCGTTAGTCATTCCTAAGAAATGCAATCATTCTGTTATCAAGCTGCCCTTAAAGCAAAACAAACAAGCAAACAGCAACACAAAAGTAAAAAACATCTACTTCTGTTGGTGGGTTTTTAAAAGTCAAATGAAAATGAAGCAGTTTCGCAGCCTGTGTCTAGTTGGTCCTTTAATTTAGATTTCCCCTTATTTTTGCAGATACTTAAAGCTTCAGAAAGACTGCCCCACTGCTACAGGAGGACCAGCCTAACCATACGCTCCAAAAGATGGCTGAGATAGATCTTGTGAAGTAATTACTGAGCACACCAAGATCTTTGCGAGTGAACACTAAAGATGTTTTCAATGAATCATAGTCCACTGGCATTTTAGGGTATCTCTTTTTTTAAGAAACAGAAGTTACATGTGATGTTACATTCCTGCATGTCCTTTTTGGGTAGCATTAGTGAATCCATTGCGTTGCTTTCCCTTCTTTTTTTGGTGGCACAGCTTTTAGTCTTTCCTGTACTAATGTGTGTTTTCCAGGCAACACGTAATAATGATATTGATGATGTGGCAGCAAACGTGTTGGCAGGGCTTTGATATATATTGTTAGGCACGAACACTCTGTTGGGCTGACGTGCAAACTGCGTTAAACGGGATTTAAAAGCCATAGGACTACCTTGCCTCAGCACCCTTAAAAACAGAGTAGAGTCGTTAGGAGCTGTGAAGATTTGAGTTGTATATCTCTGCACTGATATCCTTTAAAAAAAAAAAAAAAGCCTACATTGCTTCAAGTATTCAGGGCAAAACTCAAAATGTGAGATTTCTATAGCTTTTAGCTCATTAGAAAAAAAATAATATTTCATTGAAAGTTTTAAATTATCATGGTTAATTTATTTTTGAAACTGAGGGAGAAATAAATTCCTCGCTAGGGCCTAGGGAAGAGGAATGGCCTGCTATACAGCACGCTAAAATACTTCTTCGCACCGCATATCGATCACATAATAGCTTTCCACTGTTTAAATTTTAAGGACATCTGTATAAATTCCTGGTGTATAACTTAGAGACTGTTCTGCCTTTGGCTGACTAAGTAAAGCCCTCACAACACTACCAGTAAAGACAGCACCGTGCACGCTTACTCAGCGAAGTCAAGTCTGGGGTCAGCCTCTCTAGGGGGTTCGTTCAGGGGGGGCCCGGAGCACTCCCCAAGCGAGCCAGGTGCCTGCTGCTGCTGTTTCACAGCCTCTGAGCCTTTTCCTTTCTACCCTGAAGTTCCAGAAGGAACTTTTAATGTGGTGAATTCGTGGCTCAGAAATAGTTGCTGTGATGAAACACTCCTCTGTTAGGAAGGAAGGTAGCGACAATGTCCGTTTGAAAGGACCATAAGCTATGTAAAAAGCCATAGAAGCCGTTTCGCTTCCCTGTCAGGGGAGCTCTTGATCATGTCAACATTGTTTTAAGATGAGGTGATGTTTTTGCTGCTTATAGGGTTCAAATCAAAGAGGTTTTATTTTTTTTTTGTCATTAGAGATCATAGTTATAATGTAGTAAGTTATGCATGCTGACCCCATGTGCAGTGAAACTCCAAATAATAACTTACTTAAGAAAAGCAATAATTTTCTAAAGCTGTGATATGGGTAATACAGAGTTGCTACTCAGATTCTAATAATGCTCTTAATTCATATTGTGAATTATAGAACACTACTTTTTATAAGCCATATTTTTTTTTAGGGAAACTTAGGAGTGACATAACAGATAAATGAGTAAAATAAATTCTACTGAATTTTTTTATATATAATGGTCTCTAGAACTCTGGAAATAGAAGGTTCCTTATGCTGTGGTCCATTTCAAATACTTTTAATTCCAAATATCTGAATTAATGAGCCTTGTCTTCACACATACATGCCAAACTGGGCAACATCAATGGATTTCCTAAAAATAATGTAAATGTCTTCTGTTTAATGTTATTCGAGTGCAATAAAATGCAGAAGGATTCTTCTCTATATTGTCATTATTCTGAAGTATATTATTTTTTATTCGTTACCTAATATAATCAGTTCATTTTATACTTACTAGTACTTTAGAATATTATGGCATTTTTGATGAATACAATCGCAAAAGAGTACCTCCCCCCCATGTCTTACTCTATTTCTAATAGGTGATGCTTATTTATTTTGTTTAGCATTTACCATTATGCTACATTTCCAGGGGCAGGATTGCAATGAAATAGCCCCTGTATCCATTCTTTGCAGGTTTTTGTTGGGTCCTAGGAGTTTGGGTAACTCCCTGGTGAGGCCTCCTATTCCCTGTCCGCTGTACCCTCTACTGTTCCACAGTGACCAGTGACCATCCGTGCACAGTGACCTCTGACTGTGAAGAAATTAACTTCACCCTCGTTGAGCTTCTGCGGCTCAAGAAAGTGTTGTTTTCCCCTCCAACGTGCCCTGAAGAAACAATGAAAATAAAACTTGAAACTAAGGGTGAGCAGACTCACCTTTACTGAATGCACTTACTCTGCAAAGTGCTTTGTGTTCAGGGAGTTGAGTTTCCCCAGCAGAGGGGTGTTATCTCTGCTTGGAGGAAACAAGGGTCAGGCAGGCTGAAATGCCTGCAGGCCTGAGGCCATTCACGGTATTCTAGAGCAAACGCGTGGGCACCGGGGAACGTGGGCACCAGGGAACGACCTCCTGAGGGATCTGCAGGTGTTGCTGATTCCACTGGGAAGAGAGCTCCATGAGATTTTTGAACTTTTCTTCAATCCTGTATCCCTGATGCCTATGACAATGCTTCCTATTAGATGGTGCGCTGCCTAACTTGATGACAAGGAGGTTATAGTTAATAAGATCAAGAGCCTGTGTGTGTGTGTGTGTGTGTGTGTGTGTGTGTGTTTTAATGTCCTGGATACCCTCTTGCAGCACTAGCCAAAAAGTGTATGGCCCTCAAACTCATAAAACCCATTCTTTGCAAAAATCCAAGACCTGCGCTTCTCTAGTATCTGTTTCTCTTTCAAGAAAAGTAGAGACGTGTGAAGTGATGTAACCACTGACCTTGACAGTTTGGGCACTCGATTTTCTCAGCTGCCGCTTCCTCCTTTGCACAGAAAGGGAGATAAGACCTTTCCCCATCTGGTGTCGGGAACAAGAGACGAGTGAGATGTGCTTAGCACTGAGCCTGGCTCACTAGCTTTCGAAGTTGGCTCCCTTCTCACCTAAGGGCTGAAAAGAGAAATTGCTTGACCAATAAAAATCTCTTCCTTGCATCAGAAGCCTGCGGCATATTCTCACCTCCAAAAAATGAAATGTTTTCTATGAATGAATGTGGGGAATCGCGAACCACAACATCCAGTGATCTGTGATTGCCTCCCTACTCCCACCCTAGACCGCACCCACACTCTCTCACTTTGTGGGGAATGGACACAGTCTGTGATTTTTATGTCTCCCAAACTGTTTGCCCCATCCCCACGCCAACACCTGTACACATGTGTTCCTAGAAATACCCCCAAATTAGATCAGTACCTACTGGGTCTATAATTGACTGGTCTACCTTGAAAGTTCACTAGATCCTAACCTGTATTAAACAGTAAGCAGATATGAGGTTATGAGTGCACAAGACCTTGAAAGTTCACTAGATCCTAACCTGTATTAAACAGTAAGCAGATATGAGGTTATGAGTGCACAAGTCTGCTTATAAACACATAGTCAGGTAACGTGTCATTGTCTTCCCTGTGGGATGGGTGTTCTTTGGCCGGTCCAAGTTCTTGTTGGGTTTCACTCTGCTTGCTAACCCCATTTCTAGAAGAGACACTGGGATTCACTCAGTGAAAGGCTGACACAGGTGGGCTCTTTGGCCAATCGCAGCTCCTCAGCAGGTGAGCTACTGCACATCTGGGCTCAGTGCAGGCCCCTAACGGGTCACCTGTTAGGTGTGAAGTCCTTAAAGCAAGCATGTCAAACTCAAAGGCTAACACGGATCAAATAAGTGAAGCGTGTGGGCCGTGGGTCACAAGGTTGACATGCTTGCCTTAGAGCAGCGGTTCTCAACCTGTGGGTAGCGAACAATGAAAATACATCCTGCATATCAGATATTTACATTACGATTCATAACAGTAGCCAAATTACAGTGATGAAGTAGCAACGAAAATAATTTTATGGTTGGGGGTCACCACAACATGAGGAACTGTATTAAAGGGTTGCGGCATTAGGAAGGTTGAGAACCACTGCCTTAGAGGCATGCGACTAGTGTTCTCAGTCGGGTGACATACTGCATCCCGTTAAAGCACAGGGTGCCTATTATAAAGTAGTCTTCTGTTTTTAGAAGGCAAAATATTTAACAAGTTTTTCCCTACCCAGTTTGCCTTTGTACTCATAGAGGAGCTTAAAGGTGGTGGAGATAAGCAACAGCAACTCTCTTATCAAGGAGAAACATGTAGCCTGACACTCGATACCTAGTTATATGCTTGGTGACTTCTATAAGTAATTCAAATGAACCTGACCTTAATATAACACATTTCATGTATAAAGAATTCGGGATTTAGGAAAATTGAATTGTTTGCCGAGAAATATTTTTTAAATTATATCAATTTGAGTTCATTTAAATATGGTTCTATATTTTGAGACATTGAATGGTGACTTCCATAGTACTTACTTTGCTTTGTCTTTACTTTTCAGAAACAAATATAAAAACAGATGATCCAGCACAAAAAGCAAAAGGTGAGATTATCAAATAAACAGTCTTTCAAATATACATCTGAAAAAGCCATTATACCATCCATGAAGAACATGATGATTTTAGTTTATGTTACGAGCTAAAATAAATTGCCACTGGGTTTATTCTTTCAATGATTTCATCAACGAACATTTATTAATATTCTACGTGAACATTAGAGCTATGGCCCTGGAGAGAGATTGCCTGCCCTCTAATCCCAGGTTTGCTGTTCACTCTGTGTCCTCAAGGATTACAGAACCCTGTGCCTCAGCTTCCTCTTCTGTGATAGAGGAACACTACCACCAGCTTCAGAGACCATGAGGCTCCTGTTTCACAATAGCAGTTCAGTGAAAATGCATGTCAAGTGCTCAAAGCAGTGTCTAGCACAGACAAAGCACTTAGAAAACAGTATTTATGGTCACCTATATGGCAACTCTGCTAGGTATAGAGGTCCAAGGATGACTAGATCACATTCCCTTTTCTCAATGAACTCCAAATTGTTGGAAAGACATGCAAACAAAGTCACATCCATATAGAAAGGATCCTCTCTGCCTTCCAGGAGTTTATTACAAAGGCATTCTTGATAACCCAGTGTAGCTTTAATTCAGCTCCCATAAAGACTCCTACACTTAGAGTGAGGAGCTAAAAAATTATATGGGTGTGACAGAATGGTGGTTGTAAATCTTCAGTAGTTAAACATTATTACAGTCTCAGGAATGCCTTTAATTTGTAGTAATGAAGGCAGTGTCTACATTGAAAAGATACAAGGACACATAATGGAGAAGATCAATCCTGCTCTGTATGTAAAAAAACTTAATGAGCATGTGGAGTTACTGGCCTCTGGCCATAATTTTGTAGCCCACCGGCTGGGAACTAGGCATGTAACTCATGCGTGTGTGTTTTTCTGATTGGTTGTTTTTAATTTTTTATCAAAGTTATGTAGAGATATAGTTTCAAAAGTTATGACTTAAAAGCAGTAGTCTTCTACCTTACTACTCTCTGTCCATGAGTCCCATTCCCAACTTCCTTTTAGCTGGTTCTTCTAGTACAGTGGTTCTCAACTTTGGCTGCACAGTAGGATCACCTGGAAGTCTTTTTAAAATCCTGATTTCTGGGCCTCATCCTCCAGAAATTCTGTTTTTTGTTATGGGGTGAGGCCACAACATTAGTAACAAAGAAACAGAATTTCGGGAGGATGAGGCCCAGAAATCAGGATTTTAAAAAGATTCCCAGGTGATTCTAATGTGCAGCCAAGGTTGAGAATTACTATTCTAGTACTTAAATGTTGCGTGTCTAAATAGCTTGTTTCTGCATTTTCTCCTCACTCTTGGAAACTGTTGATTGACTTTTTTTTCCGTACACTAACTGGGATTTACCTCAGCCATCATCCATAAACTCTCAGGATGCCTGAGCTCCCCAACCTTCCATTATATTCATGATGTGTTCTTTTTAGGAGGGGAAAAAAAAAAAGGCAGGGAGGAGGGTACTAGCAGCTTCCCATAGAAATCATCACTTCTGCTTCTCCACAGCTCTGCCTTCCTCGGCCTGCTGGATACCATATTCTCTTGGCTTTCCTCCGACTGTACTATTTGCTTTTCCTCAGCCTCTTCGGTCGGACACTCCTCTCCCTGAGCACCAAACATCGGGGTGCCCCAGGACTCAGGCCTCAGAGAGTTTCTGTCTACACTCTCTTGAAGATACCATCTAATCTCATGGCTTTAAATATCTGAGTTTCAAAGATTGCCACACTTACCTGCCTGATGTCTACCTGATGACCTCGATTGGATGTCTAATCATCACTTCAAACTTACATATAAAACTGAACCCCCAACTCCCCCATCCCACTCCTCCCATGAACCTTCTTCATGCCTCCCTAGTCTTCCATTAGCAAATCCTGTCAGCTCTCTCCAGAGCGTATCTGGAATCCAACTTCCTGCCTCCTTCACCTACTATCAACACGGGTTCCAGCCACCGCCATCTCTCATCAATTGCCTGACGGGTCTTCCTGCCTCACCTCTCTCTCTGTGATCTCTCTCAGCAATGTAGTCACGGTGATGCTTTGAAAACCTAAGTGTGTGATGTGGCTCAGATGCTTCCAGCATCTTCGTATCTTTCTCACTAAAACGAAGTTCTGTGCAGTGGTTTACAAGGCCTTGCACGTCTGTCCTCTCTTCCCTTACTACGGTTTCCTCCCCAACCTTACAGTCTATGACTTTCCTTTGCTGACTCGACTCCAGCTACACTGGCTTCCCTGCCAAGCATATATAGGGCTCGGGGCCTGTGCACTGCCCGTTCCTTCCAGGTGCAGTGTTTGTCCCGGATGTCCACCCAGCTTGCTGCTGTCATCTTTGCTTACCTGTTGCCCTCTCAGTGAGCCTCCCGACTCACCTTATTTCAGAGCATAACCCCCTTACACTCGATTTTGTTTCCTTGCTTTGTTTTCTCCATAGCAGTCGCCACCGTGGGATTGGATTTGATAATTTAGTTCTTGAGTGCTTCTTTTCTGAACTTGCCACTGCAATCAAGTGCCTGTGAAAACACATTTGTGTCTCTTTTGCTCACTGCTGCATTTTCAGCGCCTGGCATCTAGTAGACCCTCAGTAAATAGTTGCTGGATGAATTTCTATTACTTCTTAATTATTAAGAATTAATCTGAGCCCTGGCTGGTGTGGTTCAGTTGGTTGAGCATCATCCCGTGCACCAAAAGGTCACCAGTTGATTCTTGGTCAGGGCACATGCCCACTTTGTGAGCTCAAGCCCTAATGGGCGTGCAGGAGGCAGCTGATCAGTTTCTTTTTCACATCAATGTTTCTCTCTCACTCCCTCTCCCTTCCTCTCTTTCTAAAATCAATAAAAACATTTTTTTTTAAAGATTTAGTATGAACAGACAATAAAGGCTGTATAAAACCAAACAGTAGGAGTAAGAACCAGACTCAGATAGCACTCCTAGGATGGAAATCTATGGGAGATCTAAAGCTTGAATGGGAGACCCAAAACTATGAGAAATATATGAGAGACCAAAAACTTTAGTAACATTGGGATAAGAAAACAGAGTGATTATGTCAACTCTTCTGTGACTTAATAAGTCTAAGCTCAGTGGATACATGAAGTCATCATACTTAAGCTCTTTGGAGCACAGAATTAACCAGGAGAAGAAAACCTATATTTAAAAACACTTTAACCTTCAGTGTCTTTGTCCAGAAATGAGGATAATGACTCTTACGTCTCATAGGGTATACTTCATTACTGGAGGATAAAGTGAAAATAGTATCTGTAAATAATACATGTAATCTGCTACTTTCATTTTCCTAACCTCACTTGGCTACTATTATTATCCAGATATATGGACTTGGGAGTGTTTTTTATAAGTAATTACTACCCTATTGAAAACCCTATTTGAGCAAATTGTCAGCTTCGGGAATTCCATTTATTTATTTTTTTTTACTTATTTCTATGATGCTGTTAACTGATAGGGAAGGGAGAATATTGCATTTTTGGAATATGCAGTGAAAAAATTGAATGTGTTTTGTCAATTATACCCCAATCTAAAAAATTGAATGTGTTTTAATAGTCCTATCTTAATTTCATAATATAGAAATGGAGATTTTTTAAAATTGAATTTAGTGGGGTGACTGGTTCATAGACATATAGATTACAGGTGTACAATTCTATAATACATCATATGTATATTTATTGTGTGTTCACCACCCCAGTCAAGTCTCCTTCCATCACCATTTATCTCCTCTTTACCCTCTTCTTCCCCTCCCCCCCCACCCAATTGGAGATTTTTAATGGTAATTATTCATTTGCCTCAGCATGAATTATTAGGTTGCCTAATTTTCTACTTGCATTATCTTCCCTCAAGTATATTGGTGAGGAAATATTGACAAGATTGGGAAGATTTTGTTTTTACTTAGAATTAATAATTATATGATCCCTTTCTTTTAAAGAATTAGATTTAATTTATTTTGATAGAGTCTCAGGTTTGGGATAGGATTTCTTCCAAAATAGGCCCTCATTTGGAGATGCCAGATTCTTAAATGGAATCAGATTATTTATCTGTTTCAGATGAAATTGCTATATCAGTTTCTCCCCACTGGATGTCATGTTTTCCCACATATTCCATATTTCACAACCGTAAAACATAGTGTGAACTACAAAGTAATGCAATATGAAAACGGCTCACTAGATGTCTAAATCAAACAGTTATTCTTCTTCACTCATTTACTCAGTAACATTGAATACCTACTGTGTGCCAGGCTTTGGTTTAGGCAGTGGGGCCAAGACAGTCAATAAAATCAAAGCCCCAGTTCTCACAGTACTTGTATTTGTGTGTGTGTGTGTGTGTGTGTGTGTGTGTGTGTGTACATCTGTATCTGTGTGTTTAAACATATGATTCGAATATAATAGACAAAATATAAAAAATAGAATATAATAGGCAGTGATACCTGTGAAAAGAAATATACAACAGGACGAGAGTACAGAGAATGACAGTGGGCAGGGACGTTGCTCTATCGGCGGTCTCTTGGACAGTGACGTGAAAATGCAAGGGAGTGAGCTGTGCAGCCACCTGGGAGAAGAGGGGTCCTGGTGGAACAGCACATCCTTAGTCGCTAAGGTGAGAAGCACTTAGCAAGTGTGAGGATTAGCCGGCAGTGTGCGAGGGGTGAGGGGAGTGTGGGAGGTCACAGGGGTTGCAAGGTTTGAGTCACAAAGGCCTTTGGAGAAGGACTTTATAAATATATTATCTTGAGTGACAGTGGAAGCCACTGGGAGATTCTGAGCTGAAGATTCATATTTTCTGCTTTATGTTTTAAAAGGCTGGTTCTGGCTCTAGGGGTGCAAGATTGGAAGCAGGGAGACCACATAGAAGACGATGGTGATGGTCCAGGGAGAGATGAGGGCAGCCAGGTTCAGGGGTGGGGTAGAGGCAGTGAGGGAGGGTGAGATCTGCATGTATTCACACATAAAGTCAAGAGGATCTGCTAATGGATAAGGATGTGGG